TCCTTCCCTCCGATCCTCTTCCCCCATCACCATCCCGGCATACTTCCTTGATCTCATCTTACCCTCCTCTTCCACTATTACCCCGATTTTCTCACGCTGTGCCAATTCCGATTGCGACAAAGAACCGTGCTATAACAATACAGCACAGATGATATGCACAAATCGAGAAATGCTAAAAAAAAGAAAAAAACGGGAGTGAATATTTCCATATTGATCACTGCTCATTCGATTGCATCTGGATTTAAACTCGAGGTGATCAAAGAACATGATCATTGCATCGTCAATATCATTAGCTAATTGGGATAGAGATCAGGTAGGGCCGGAGGATTGGGATCGAGGTGATCAAAGAACATGATGATTGCATCCTCAAAAATTGGATCCACCGGATGATTGGGATAGAGATCAGGTGGGGCCGAAGGATTGGGATTAGCTATGGCGATATCATGGTCTGGTGTTGTCGTTGACGGGTGATGATGATGATCTATGATCGATGACGATGATCGATGATGACGATGAGGATGAGGAATATAACTCACAAACGAAATGATGACACTCACAAACGAAATGATTACACTCACAAACGAAACGATATCCACTCGCCTTCATCAGCCAAGTGCACCGTCAATTTCCGATCGTCACCACCACTTCGCAGTTCTCTTCTTCCTCCCAGTCGCCTTCCTCCACCGTCACCACCACCTTCTTTTCCACTTCTCTCTCCCTCTTTCTCTCTCTCTCTTTCTTTCTCTCTTTCTCTTCGCGTTCGTTTTCACATTCGTTCTCTTCCACTTCCTCTCTCTCTCTCTCTCTCTCTCTGACACACATACACACACTTTCTCTTTCTCTCTCTCTCGCTCTCTCTCTTTCTCACACACATACACGCACAATCACTCACCCATCGCCCGGCACTCGACGATCACGACTTTCAACCGTCGAACATCTCTTTCCTTCGTACAACGGCTGCCCGCCGCCCGCTACTCGACGAAAAAATGACGGGAAAACACACTCGCACGACCAAAAAAAAAATTGCACCAGGCAACACCCTTCGAACCGCCACACAACAACCCAAAAAAAACCGCACTCCGAAACGCTTCTACTGCGCGGCGACACCCTTCGAACCGGCACACAGCCGACCAAAAAAAAAACCTCCGATTTTGCCTGTTGGGCCTGTGCCTTGCCGCCCAATTCTTTCCCAACACAGACAGACCGGCTGCGGGACAGCGTCACGCGAGACCCACTCTTCCCTTTATAAAGAGTATAGACAAGTCTACAACTTATATTAAGCTAGCAGTGCGCCACCAGCCTACCGTCTTCAACTGAATAGAACGCCCGGTCATTATTGCTGTGTATCTAGACCGAAAGGTGCCCCAAATACCGCTATAATGACCGGACGTTCTATTTGAGCGAAGGCACTGACACTAAGGCTGATACACATGGAGGCCCACGGTCAGGTTCGGCCTACTACCTCGTGCAAGAGGGGGGTGTTCTGGGAGGGTGCACAAAATTACGTGCGGTAAGTTTTGATACCTGCAGTCTGGTTCTGGTTTGGCCTACCGAGCGGAAATTCCCCTCCCACCTCACCATCCCCCTGTCCTCTTCTTCTTCCTTGTCGTCCTGATAAGACCTCCGTCCGGATATCCAGATGGTCAAGGACAGCGACAATGCGCAGACCATCTGGATGCCCGGATTTCTCCCGACAGCCATCGACACTGGTTGTCCATATCCATATTCATCACCGTGCATCGACCCATGGACAGCGCACCGACCTGAAGCTTCACAAGGTAACGACAACGCGCATTCACATTCTGTCTCGAAGGGTAACCGGACTAAGCAGTAAGGTTTCACTCTGCTCGTAAAGTTTCTGGAGGATTGAAAAGATTTGAGCAAACCGGATGCACTCACATGTATGCGGCGCATGCTTTCCGCTTTGGAGCGCTTTTCTTCTGCAGCAAGTTGTCGCTCAACAGCCTTCCGTGCCACCTCTGCCTTCTTGAGCCTTGTGACCTCCTCAAGCACAGATTCTGCCTCCTGAGCCTTAGCCATTAACTCCTGCAGAGAGCCGCAAAACAGTGGGTTCAGAACTTCAAAGATGTTGCTATTAAGTGTTATATCGTCAAACAGAGCTGCCCGGTATACCATATAGGCAGAGAGGGAGAAGAGGACCACAAACGAGGGGCTGTGACAAACTGTTTCGTCGGAGTTTCACCGACTCATCAGGAGGCTGAACCCTCAACAGTCTGCAGAATCCCCTAACTGATTACACTGTAAGACTGTGTAAGTGGTAATGCACCTTAACCCCGGTTGTGGTTAAGCATCAACGACTGCCTGACAACTGATACCTTGAGGTGGGCACCAACCACTGCACGAAAATCAAAGCAGACTATCACTCACCCACACCAGATGGAATAGTCGTAGTAGTCGTAGTAGTGGTAGTAGTGGTAGTAGTAGTCGTCGTAGAAGTAGTCATAGTAGTCGTAGTAGTCGTAGTAGTAGTAGCTGTAGTAGTAGTAGTGGTAGTAGCAGTAGTAGTAGTAGTAGTAGTAGTAGTAGTAGTAGTAGTAGTAGTACTAGTAGTAGTAGTAGTAGTAGTAGCAGTAGTAGTGGTAGTAGTAGTGGTAGTAGTAGTGGTAGTAGTGGTAGTAGTGGTAGTAGTGGTAGTAGTGGGTAGTAGTAGTAGTAGTAGTAGCAGTAATAGTAGTAGCAGTAGTAGTAGTAGCAGTAGTAGTAGTAGTAGTAGTAGTAGTACATTACTTGTATTCCCACTGTAACTTCCATATGAACCCATTTAACAAGCTTAATCACTTTCAAGTGTCCAAGCAATGCTATCCAAGTCAGAGTACGACGAATCATCAATGGAAGACACACATAAGATAAGAACAAGAACAAGAGTCACAAGGTCCTCTAGTGTCTCTCCACTTCCAACCACTCAATTCGGCACCTCACATCAATCCTGAGTCTGATGGACTCTACTCTTCAACAAGGAATCCTCTCACCGGCCTCTCCAACAAAGTAAATTTCAACTCTCCTTTCCCCAGACCTCCCGGAGGTCCAGCACCACAAGGAGGGAGGGAAGGAAGGAACGGGAAGGAGGGAGGGAGGGGAATAAGCAGGAGGGGATGGGAGCCAAAGGGGAAGGGAGGGGAAGGGAGGGGAAGGGAAGGGAGAGGGAAAGAGAAGGGGCGGGGGGGGAGTGGGGGAAAGGTAAGAGGAAGGAAATGAGGAGAGAGGGAGGGAAGGGGACGGCACAGGCAAGGGGAACAAAGGGGAGGGGAGGGGAGAGGAGTGGAGGGAAGAAAGAAAGGGAAGGGACAGGAGGAAGGCGAGGAAGAGGACAAAGGAAGGTGAGAACGTAAGGGAGAAAGGGAGTCAGGAACGAAAGGAGGGGAGGGGGAGGCAAAGGAAGCAAACGGGTGAAAGGGACGGAAGTGAGGGAGACCAGGGAAGGAGGAGAAGTGATGGGAGGGGGGAAACAGGAAGGGCAGGGAAGGGCAGAAGGAGGAAGGGCGAAGGGGAAGGGGGGGGAGGGAGGGGATAGGAAGCAAAGGGAAGAAGAGGAGGAGGAAGAGAAGAGAGGGGAAGAGGGGAGGGAAGGGAAGGAAGGGGAAGAAGAGGAAAAGGAGAGGAAGGTGGAAGGCAGAGATGGGGGAAGGGAGGGAGGAAGGAGGGAAGAGAGGGGGAAGAGAGGGGGAAGAAAGAAGTGAAGGGAGGGGGGAGGGAGGTGTAGAAGAAAGCGAGGGAGGAGGACTGGGAAGGGAAGGGAGGGAGGGTAGAGAAGGAAAAGGGAAAGGAGGATAAGGAAGGTAGGGGGAAGGAGGATGAGGACGGTAGGGGGAAGGAGGGAAGGGAATAGAGGATAGAGGGGAGGGGAAGCGAGGGAGGGATGAAAGAGACAGCAGGGAAGGAGGGGGGAGGGAGGATAAAAGGGACGGAGGTGAAGAGGAAGGAAAGGGGAGGAGGTCGGCAGGCCAGAAGGGAAGTAAGCAACAGAACAAATGGAAAATTGGACAGAAGTATCGGTCCAATTTTAACAGATGACCCAAAGGACAAAAAGTAAAACAATTTACGCAGCGCCGATGTATGGCACGAAACATTCGACGCAAGCTAACAGAAATTACAGAATACTGTATTGTGGGCTGGACCAACACTGCATAATCCGCCCTGGTTTTGGGAAATTCATTGGTTTCTTCATTCCGACTTCCAAGTAGAAAAGCTAGACAAAGCATCGCCTCAAAGCAATGAGAGGGAACGGACGGAATCAACTCAGAATCAGTGCTGTGCCGGCAACCGGCCGGTTGAGCTACCCCGGCCCGACTGGAGCCGGACCAGCCCAGGGGGGGTGAACCGGGATTTGAAAAAAAAGTGCCCAAATATCTTTTTTTTTTTTTTTTTGGGCAGATTCCGACTGCGCTCTTCAAGAGCTGTCGGAATCCTCAATAAAATTTTCAAGGTACAATATTTTTCAGGGGGCTTCCAGTGCAATCAGACTCGCTTTCTTTCATTCATCACATGCATGCAAACAGGATGTGCAGCAAACTGGCGACAAGTGCCCACTCAGAACTCGGAGATATGGTAACCAAGAACGCAACTCAAATACAAGTTCACTTCAGATGGCTATGGCGGCACAGCGCCTGTACAACTCTCTGTTCGCACACACAGGATCACCCTGGATGTCCCACACGCGATACTCTGTACACACACACACACACACACACACACACACACACACACACACACACACGCGCGCGCGCGCGCGCGCGCTGAACTCTATCTACAGCTATGGCAGCTATGGCCGCTGCTACCCTATCGCTATGGCTAAGATCCTTCTCTCTCGCCCACTTCTTCCTCGGGCTCACTGCAGACCACCTCGCACAAGTCGCTGTAGCAGCCCTTCCGCATGGCTCACGCAGGAATGAATGAATGGCTGGACGCTGCCCTTTGATTTATACTTCTGTAACTCGTTGGTCTGGCCCTTTCCCTTGCCCGTGGTGCACACAGTCCCATGCGGTACTTGCTTGACTGGACTAGGACTGACTGGGACCGGTACTGCTGACTGCATGGGTTTGCACTGCCAACTCGATGCAGTCGAACTGCCGACGTACTGCAGTTGGGCTCACCACTTGCCCACTTGCCTCAGCCAAAACGTGAGCAACTTCGAAAGGCCACTACTAGGACTTTCCGGAAGTCTGGGTCCTGGCCTTTCGAAGACTGTAGCAGCTACGACCTTGACCCTTCAGGACTGTAGCAGCTACGACTTCTAGAACTCCCTAGGACTGCTACTCGACAGATCTACAGATCGAACCCCTACCACCTACGAACCCTACGACAGTCTACCAACTGTTACAAATACACAGGTCACGGGTTCAACTCTCGGGGTCGACACAAATGCTGTACACAGGTAAGGTGATGACTAGGGATCGAGCCCTGGGATCTGCATCGGCTACTGCAAACAGGTGAATACCGTTTCACCAGAGGGGGGCAGGGGTTTATTATTGACATATTGAGGCAACTATGGCTTCCTCGGGTCTCTCACTTGTGCACTCCCTACTACTAACACACACATAAGGATCAACTCTGAATACCACTCACTGCTCTACTACCACTAACTACCACTATATTGCCTCCTAGTGCTGGCGCAGCTATGGCTGCTTTCTACCCTGCCGGCGTCTACTTCCTCTCTCTCATCTCTACTCGGCGCTGCTCTCTGGCATAGCGCAGCTCCCACACTAGCGCACAAGTGCACAAGCACTTCCACACTCTCGTGCAAATGAGCATCTGCCCGAATGGTAGGCTGGCCAGTCCTTTTGTAGTCTTGAAATGCACTTCAACTCATGCCAGCCTCTGCTTCTGGAGGCCTGACTGGTTCCGGTACCACATCCTCACGGCCTGTCTGCTTCTGAACGTCAAGGCCTGGAACCTTCCCGAATTTCCATGGGTCTGCTGCTGCTTGGGCCTTTGGGTCATGACTTTTCATTTGTGATCATGACTTTTGACTGTGGACCGTGACTCCTGCCCCTGGGACACGACCCTTACCTGTGGAACTGCCCTCTTACTCGTGGTGATGTGACTCTTCAATATGACTTTTCATTCTGAGGTGCGACTCTTGCCCCTAAGACGTGACTGTTTACTGGGTTCCTGTTGGACTGGACACCTGAGGTGCCCGATTGTGACTTTTCTGAATTTGATGAGCTTGGTCTCTCTTAACCAGGCCTCTGAACGATTGTGACTTTTCTGAATTTGATGAGCTTGGTCTCTCTTAACCAGGCCTCTGAACCTGAGATCCGAATTTGGGGTCTGAAAATCTTGAGACATTTGAATTTTGAACGCAGAATACATTCAATACCACCTTTTTTTCAAATGGAATGTGTAGGTGTTCTATTCGAGTCCCCTTACATTTTTCGCATCCTTCCAAGCTGTGGACCATTGAAAACATTCTCTCGTTTTTTCTTTTTTTCCCACATTCTGTACTTCTAATTGGATATAACATCACCTAGTTAAAGGAGTTACAACTTACAACCGTAAGGAGGGAGGGGGGGGGGGGCAAGAAGGGAAACAAATTTAGAAAAAATCAAAAAAACTTAAGAAAAGAAATAAAAACTATTAAAAAGTTAGTTGAAAAAAGCACAAAAAGGAAAAGAACAAGAGAAACGCCAACGAATCTCGGTTGATCTGTTTTGAACTGCTTTCCTTTTGAATCATATGCTAGCCAGACAGCACCATTCAAATGCAACATCAACGTGTTGATTTGGGGTGTTAGGGAGAACGGGGGAGGGGTGGGGAGGGGAGGAAGGGG